GTACACCCCTTTTGAAAAGAGAGACTTTAATCAATATTTCAATGAACACAAGAAAAATTTAAAAAATTTTGACAAAACTAAGATTTATAGAACATTTGTTTAACTCATTACATGAAAATAGGGTTACTAAAATAACTTACAAAATCTTCAGTTTTACTCAAATTAGTTGATGTAAAAATGAATACACCCCACAACAAAAACTACTATGTAGTATTTGATATGAGCTTCATGATTTGTAAGGAGAGCACCAAGTCTTCCAGGCATGAAATGAACAAGTTGGCGATGGGGCGCGACATATCTATCTTTTTCCATTCTTCAAGAATGACCTCTTTTAGAGCCTGGATGGAAAGTGATGCTCAACTTGTCTCTTCAGAATTCCCCATAGCTGTTCTTAGATCAGGAGACATACTTGGCCAGTGAATAATTTTCACCCTGTTCTTCTTCAGAAATGCAGCAGTGGCCTTAGATATGTGTTTTGGATCATTGTCATGTTGGAAAAGTGAACGACGACCAAGGGTACGGAGTGATGATAGCATCATTTTTTTTCAATATAGAGCCGTATATCTGTGAATTCAAGATACCATCAATGAAATGCAGCTCCCCAACACCAGCAGCATTCATGCAGCCCCACTGCCACCACCATGTTTCACTGTAGGCGCTGTGCATTTTTCTTTGTACTTCTCACCTTTGCAATGCCATCCAGTTTTGACCCCATCAGTTCCAAAAACATTTATCTTGGTCTCATCACTCCAGAGTACAGAGTCCCTATAGTCTTCTTCTTTTTCAGCATTGGCCCTGGCAAATTTTAGGTGGGCTTTTTTGTGCATGGGTTTTAGGAGAGGCTTCCTTTGTGGATGACACCCATGCATGGTGTTCCTCTGCAGTGTATGCCATATTGTGTCACGAGAAACAATCACCCCAGTTTGATTGACTGCTTCTTTAGCTAACTGAAGGTAACTTATGCATGAGAAGGGAACGTGCTTCTGCCTTCTATCGGCCTCGCGCATGCTCCGAAACGCGTCGCATTGTATGCTGGACTTCCCCACGTCATCACGCTGATGCCGACTTTGAAATCCAGGGTGTACTCCGGACACCATCTTCCGATACACATGCTGGCCGGCTCCTTGTGAACATTCAGAGTCTCTCCCCCAGCGCTGACTATGGCTGTCACATCAGGGACGCAGGCATGTCCTCCATCTTTATAACATATGCCAGATCCTTCCTTTTCTCCTCCATCATGTGAGTGTTTCTTACTGTATTCCTCAATAAATGTTCTACATACTGCACTTATAGAGTCGCTTTTTTTCTATTTTTTATAACTGCAGGGAACTTGCATGCCGATTTTATTCAACACTTATCTGAAGGTGTCCTGTCGAGGTGTTAACTTCCATGGATGCCTGAACATCTCTGTGACATGGTTGTAGTTCCATCTTTGTTAAATTTTTGTATCACTTTTGCTACAGTATTCTGACTGATAAGTAAAGCTTTGCTGATCTTCTTGTAGCCCTCACCTTTCTTGTGTAATGAAATTATTTTCTTTCTCAGGCCATGTGGCATTTCTCTTTCATGTGGAGCCATTGCTGACAGCATGAAATGGGAAGGGGTTTTCTTTGTTAAGTAGGGCCCTTTTATAATCATCTGTCTGCTGGACACCTTTATTATAATGAATAATTAGACTCACCTGTAGTTTAATTCTTGTTAAGTAGCACTTTGTTGTCTAAAATTTACCTTAGCTCCTAAGACTGTAATTGGGGTGTATTCATTTTTGCAACATGCTCTTGAATGAATTTGTTAGTAAAAATACTTTTTTTGTGTGTGCAAATTAACAAATCTTGTTTGTAATCAATGGCCCGCATTTGTGGGAGTATTTTGTAGTATAGTGTCCCATAGAAAATGTTGCTTCTGAAATGAAAGTAAAAGTTTATGACAAATCTGTTGAGGTGTGCTCATTTATGCTGAGCACTGTATATGTTTTATTTATTTATTTATTTATATACAATCTGATTGTTATGAAAGATCCCTGACAGTGGGAGTTTATGTTTTTTAAAATTTACTTCCAAACTGGCTAACGTACATTTACATTGCCAGTTTGGAGTATTACACCAGGATTCTCTTAGATTGCAAGCTCCAAGGAGCAGGGCCCTCTTGTATTGAACTGTATTGTTGCTGTATTGTCTCCCTTTATTTTGTAAAGCGTTGAGCAAACTGTTGGCGCTATATAAATCCTGTATAATAGTAATAATATAATAATGATGTCTGCAGCTGCATGCATCAACCAGGAATTTTTTCTTTAGTCAGCAATGTTCTATTTAGTAAAACTGATCTGAGTGGCTAATTAGCTGCTGGATAAAAGCAGCGGGAAGGATTGTCCCCCCTCCCACCGGTCTCCACTCCCTCTCCGAGCTCTCCCCTCCAATCAGGGAGCCCAGCACTGTTGGCGGTTTCACCGGCTTACCATAGAGCTGATCAAGAACTGAAACATTCCTGATCATCTCTGTGGTATTTGAAAATGGAAGATATGAGTATTCTGTAATTTCTGCAGAATGTAAACAAGTCCTTTTTGGCTTGGAAAAAGCATCTACTCAAACAAATCTTGGTTTGATCAGATGCTTTTTGATTAGAGAAGAGATCCAGGGTCTAGTAGATCCCAGATGTCTCGGTGAAGAGGACTTGTCACTGCTTATTGCTATCACAAGGGATGTTTACATTCCTTGCAATAACAATAAAAGTAATTTAAAAAATTAAAGAGACAGTGTAAAAATAAAAAAAGTGCTAAATAATAAAAACATTTTTTTTAAAGCACCCCCCCCATGCTTGCAAGCAAAGTCGAACGCATATGTAAGTCGCGCAGACATATGCAAATGGTGCGCACACCACACGTGAGTTATTGTTGCAAACTTTATAGCGAGTGCAATAATTCTAGCACCAGTCCTTCTGTATAACTCTAAACTGGTAACCTGTAAAGGCTTTTAAAGCAGCAGATATGGAGATCTTTAAGTACCATAGTTTGTTGCCATTCCACAAGCAAGTGTGATATGTTAGGGATCTATTTACTTGGCGTAACACCATCTTTTATTTTTTACCAAATTATTCGATATTATATTGTGGGGGTTTTTGTGTTAACATTCATAAAGTGTATTTTTTCCCAAAAAAAGCATTTCCAAAAATGTATGTGACATAAAAGAATTGCAACACCCACCATTTTATTCTCTAGGGCCTTTGCTTAAAAAATATATAATGTTTTGGGGGTTCTATGTAATTCTCTAAAAAAGAAGTGGTTTAAAGTAATCCAAAACTAAGGATTCCCTTTCCTGTTAGGAAATTCCCAAATGTATTAAACATTTATTTTCCCACCAGTGGTTGTGAAATACAGCCTGGTTGAAACTCAAGATTGCCCAAGATAGGATCAAGAGGAATATGTACAAAGAACAGTGGCTTTCTAGTTCTCTGTTTGTCCCAAACTGAACATGAATATGAAAGCGGAGGACCTAAAATGGGCAGGTTGCAGTCTATTTGGGATCCATATCAAGGAATCTATTGTCAGCAGGGAGAGTGCTAAAGCTTCTGATATGGGAAAAATACATATTATTTTAATTTGGTCCTCAACTATTCTGTGGCATCAAAATTATGTTACTAGTTAAGTGTTCTTGCATGGCAAGGCCACTTACTGTTATCTCACATATATATTCTTATTCTTATAGCCAAATTTACCACCCTAACTCCTCCTACAGTTTTTTACACTACATAGACAGTAATATACCGAAACGTGCAAATTGTTCCCGATTGGTGTGCTATTACTTTGTGGAACGTTTCGCCGAATGGTTCACGAAATATCAGTGTTTTTGTGGTGAAATTGGTCCCATAGGAATGAATGACAGAATGTTCAAAGCTAGAGTGTGAGCTGAAAAATCAGGACATGATTTCTAAACTGCCATCACTCCCTCATTTTCAAGCCCACCTACACAAATCTTATATCAAAACGTTCAGCTATCCCTGCTGCCACTAAAAATGTCCACGGCTAAGCCATAGTCCTGATAGTTTTCACAATATGACCATTTGTTTTCAACTCATACCGCCCATTGACATTCATTGAAACTCCACTCTAGCCACCTCAAATTTGAAGGGCAATTTCTAAACTGCGACTGTGCATTCTGCGACTTCATTTGTAATATTTCAGAGACATACTGTGCATCAAAACGTAGGTCTGGGTCTTGTGATTCTCACAATATAAAGCTATTTGGTGTAGGATTTATAATTTTTAAACTACAACTGTTTGAAGATGGCAACTGCCAGTGAAGTGAGCAAGTTGGAGCAGTTTGTTTTTAACCCCTCTTCTCTGCCCTTGCTGTAGAATGAGTTGCCATAGGAACCTAGGTGTGTGAGCAGGCAGCAGAGTGGCAAGCCACTCCACCCAGTTACTCCGCCCACTCCAGTTGTAGACTACTGGGGGAGGCAAGAACACTTCACACAATTTCCCCAGAAATTGTAGCTTTTCTAGTTACTAATGCAGCACCCAAGCTTCCCCCCGAATAACCCCCATGACAACGGACAGGGGTTCCTCTCCATGCACCCACTGTTACAATTTAAAAACAGCAAGACTCCACCAACACAGCTGAGTCATTCTATCACAGAGTTCTATAAATGAATAAGCTACAAGTACAGTCAGCCAACAGGCTTGTAGTTCTCAGTGAACTACTAGAGTGCTCTTGTAGTTCATTGACACTTGCTACAGCTCTCAAACAAAAAGCCTGCACACAGGTATGGGCAGAAAGCTGAAGGCAGTGTCTGCATGATCTGCTGATCATGGGTGCAATATTCTGCAGCCTCCCTAGAATGAAAATATTAAAATATTAAATGCATTTTTTTTTACCTGCAAAACATGGGCATTTATTATTCTTTTTAAAGGTGAACTTATCCTTTAAGGTGATGCAAAACAGAGCAATGTTAATTGCCATAATTCAATTACATAAATCATATACTGCAAACATACTACAGGAGATGTCAGAGACTGCAGACATACTACAGCGGATGGTCAGAGACTGCAGAAATACTACAGGAGATGGTCAGAGACTGCAGAAATACTACCGGAGATGGTCAGAGACTGCATACATACTACAGGTGATGGTCAGAGACTGCAGGCATACTACAAGAGATGGTTAGAGACTGCAGACATACTACAGCAGATGGTCAGAGATTGCAGAAATACTAAGGAGATGATTAGAAACTGCAGAAATACTACAGGAGAAGGTCAGAGACTGCAGAAATACTGCAGGAGATGGTCAGAGACTGCAGAATTATTACAGGAGAAGGTCAAAGACTGCAGACATACTACAGGAGATGGTCAGAGACTGCAGAAATACTACAGGAAATGGTCAGAGACTGCATACATACTACAGGTGACGGTCAGAGACTGCAGGCATACTACAAGAGATGGTTAGAGACTGCAGACATACTACAGCAGATGGCCAGAGATTGCAGAAATACTAAGGAGATGGTTAGAAACTGCAGAAATACTACAGGGGAAGGTCAGAGACTGCAGAAATACTGCAGGAGACGGTCAGACTGCAGAATTACTACAGGAGAAGGTCAGAGACTGCAGACATACTACAGGAGATGGTCAGAGACTGCAGAAATACTACAGGAGATGGTCAGAGACTGCAGACATAATACAGGTCCTGTAGATGGTGTGGTGATTGATGTCTCCCCCCTCCACATTTCTATGGAGGGGGTGATGTTATAGATCAGTGTACACAGCTCTAGTACCTGGCAGAGCATGTCTTCCCTCACACCCTCTAGAATATAACTGTTCAGTGTGTGATCCCTATCCTCTCCCCCTCCTCTGTGTGCAGGTATGGCCAGACTCGGACTCCTCTGCTCACTTATCCTCACTCACTTGAGCAACAGTGTACCGATCTGGACAGCACGCAGGTCCCTCATACTACCCCGGCCAGTTAGTTCAGCAGTGTCCCAGTCCAGACAGCAAGTCCTCGCCCAACCCCTTCCGTTGTCAGCAGGAAGCCGACAGCACTTGAGTTGGAGGCGGAACAGCTCTAAAGAAGGAAGTTACATCATCCTCCTCTGAATAACAGGTCTTCCAAGCACTTGGTTGGTTGTTAGGACGCTAGGCCTAGCAACTAATAGTTTTGACAGGTGGGACTTTAGAGACTGGTGAATTTACAGGGGGAAGCCAGTTAATCCTGCTTTGTTGGTAGATCCGCCCAGCAGCCTAGTTTAGTGGGGGGCACAAAGGGGGGGGCAAGAAATTACCTAGGGGGGACAGTTGCCCCCCTGTAGCAACGCCACTGCTTTCAACACAGACAAGTACATACAATGAATAAAGTATTGCAATACTAGGGTCGTTGGTTCAAATCCCAACAATGGCACCACCTGTCTGGAGTTTGCATGTTCTCCCTGTGCCTGCGTGGATTTCCTCCAAGTACTCTGGTTTCCTTCCACACTCCAAAGACATGCTGGTAGGTTAACTGGATCCTGTGTAAAATTGGCCCTAGTATGCATATGTATGAATGTAAGTTAGGAACTTTAGATTGTACTCCCCTTGAGGGACTGATGTGAATGTACAATATATATGTAAAGTGCTGGTTAGATTGACCGCGCTCTTTAAGTACAGAGAGGTAAGTGAGCGCTAAAAGTCAATTAAGCTGCTGAAACACCAAAAGGTACCAAAAACCACCAAAGCATCAACATAAAAAGATATAAATCTATATAAAATTTAAATATAAATATTAAATAAGAATATAAATATCTATATAAATGTATAAATATATAAATCTATTAAAGTGACCAGTGACAAGGTGCTAGCAAATCATTCAAATAAAGTGACTCAGTGGTGTCATATAACTCTGTCACTATATAGTGACCAACAGTGCATGAAATAAAGTGCTTGAAATGGTAATCAAAAATTGTCCAAAATAAGTGCATGGAAGATCAATAAAATCTCCAATATCTGGTGGTCTATCCGGTAAGGTGGTGATGTGACCAAAGGTATAAAGACTGCTCACTCACCAGATGCGCAATCAATGAGCGCATTTAGAGATAACACTCTCAGTGGTAAAACTGGAGGCCCCTTTCAGGTGAGTATGGTCTGATGTCCCTCACTGCTCACTCCGCTGTCAGCAATGGCTCTGCCACTCCTCTTATGTAGCTCTCTACAAACGCTTAGAGCTCCGGGGATTCCAGAACATCAGTAAGAAGGATATAACAAGTCTTGTGTGAGCTGTCCTGTGAAGACCTTTATCCAGAGGTGGATAAAGTGCTCATCTGTTACTTTACGGCCCAAGAAGTAACTGGCAGAAAAGACACACAGAAGATCTCCCATCTGTATGTGGATGGCATTCATTTACAAAGAATCAGATTGTGGACATGTCGTCACTCTGATCACCGTCCCTTGGTTCCACCCCCTCTCTTTAAGTACCTGTAATAATAATAGTAATAACCTCTGAGATTTGTGTAGGAATGGCAGAGGAGTTGGATTTTACTGCCAAAGCAAATATCTATAAAGCTGCCTAGCTTACTCTTTTTATCTTTATAAATACAAAATAAAGAGTAAAAGGAGTTGATATTATGCCTAAACATTCCTTGCATTAGGGTAAAAAATGTTTAGACATCGATTTTGGCCCCTCAAACCCCCCCCCCCCCCCCATATTTACCTGAGCCCTCACTCGATCCAGGGCTGTGCACGTCTGCAGTTTTTCTATTCCCTCACTTTCTTGTCTCACTGACTTTGCCATTGGCTCCCAGTGCTATCAATCAAAGCCAGTGATGAAGGAATGGGGAGCGGGGCCGAGTCCTACTCTCTGTGTCAATTGATGCAGCGAGAGTAAGCACACAAGAGTGCCCCCATGGGACGCCACTTCCCATGGGGGCACTGGACAGACAGAAGAAGCCAGAAGCGTTGGTGGGGGACCCGAGGAGAGGAGGTTCAGGGCCGTTCTGCTCAATTCCTTTAACTATAGAGATGTTTGCTATTTCTTTACAATATCTTTAAAGGGCCAAAGCATTGATCACTGCACTCATAGGCCATTGAGAGCTCTAACATGCCTGTTTACACCTGATTGTATGAACAGACATCATAGAGAACAATTGATTTTTTAAGTTTGAGCATTTTTGGAGCTTCAAGCTACAAATCGATCACGTGTAATCCAGCCTTAGACACATATTACATGTTACACCCTCATTTAGGGTATAACATGTAACATGTTCCTAAGAGCCCGGCTCCCACCCCCAGATCTCTTGCCATGTGACAGTATGCGGGGTTCCTATCCCCTGTGGCCAATTTGAGATTTAAAATGAGTGCACGTTTGCCGGGCTCCACCTGCATAGCCACATCATTAACTGAGATCGGGCAGACAGACAGACAGACAGTGGACTACGAGTGCAGTGAACAGTGCAGTCCTAGTCCGTTGACAATGCAACTCGTTAACAGAAAGCCTGTATAAAATTTCAGGCAGAGAGCTGTAGGAAGTGTCTGCAGGAGCCTGACATTGCACCCATGATCCAATGATTGTGGGTGCAATATTTTGCAGGCTCATGTGAAAAAAATCATAGGTGCATATTTTTCTAGTAAGAATATGTGCATATTTTATTTTTTCTTCATAATGGTGAACTCGGTCTTTAATTCTTAGAAATAGAAGAAAAGGACCTACGTTTTAGTAAAGATCATTACAACCACTGCAGTGCCAGTCACAAAACATACCACTGGGCTATTTAAAACTGTTGAAAACAATATAAAAACATTAATCTAAATGTAGCATTACCCCCCCCCCCCCCCGAAGGAGCCAGCAGTTTTGAAGGCCTTTTCCTGGAATAGAACGGAGGAGGAGAGGAGGCCCAGATCTGCATGTTTGTGGGCACCTGGCCAATCCCCACGTAGGAGGCCAAGCATGGTGACCAAGGACAGCCCTTAAATATGGTAGAGCCTGAGCAGACAGGGAGATGGGTTGAGAGAAGGCATGTGTGGAGTCTGGGAGGGATCTCCAGGGAGTGGAGCCTGCCTACAGGCAGGATGCTGGAAAGGAGGATCTCCGCTGCTCAAAGTCTCCTAGGGAGGACATCCTGAGCAGCAGGGAAGGAGCCAGCCCAGTGTAAGACCTGAAGACAGCCATCAACCCACCACGCTGATAGGACAAATCAGTGTGAGTACTCCTACATCCCTTGGGCCAGATAAAGGAAGAGAGCAGTCAGGTGCAGGACCCAACTACTTCTCATCCATGACTACTTCATTGCAAGATCTTGGAATCCCTTGCTCATGGATACTCTAAGTGCAGCCAGGTGAAAAGGAAGGATTCATCTGGGGTCTGAGGAGGTACACCAAGGGTGCAACAAAGATGCAATTTTGGCCAACATAATGCTATGCTGCATTAAAGCATACTCCAGTTTTACTTGCATTCATTTCTGTATGAGAATATACTATGCACATTTTTCTTACTTTTATCTATCTTTTTAAGTTTATCTTTTAATCTGCAACAAAATATAGATATCTGTAATCTGTAATCAGTAGAGGTACCTGTACTGGTTCCTTCTCAGAGGGAATTTCTGGAACAGCCACTCATTCAGGAAAAAATTGTTCAGGTCATTAAATCTATCTCCCCACAAAAGTCACAGGGCTTGATGGGTCTCCTATAATAAGTAAGATATACATGAGCACAGTGGCTCCTTATCTATTGCAATTGTATAATTATGCACAAGAGGAGGGCTTTTTACCCCTATTTTGTACAAGCCATTTATAGTACTGATCCCCTACCCAAAAACAAGGATCTGTTAGACTGTCATGTTTCACATGATTGTCATGTTGACTGTCATATGCCTTTAAATGTTTTCAGTGTTTTGTCTCTGCTCCTCCCATTCCTTTAGTTTAGATAGTGTTGCATAGATAGCCCTCCCCCTCTCTCAGAGATGCATTGCAGTAAGCCTCATGGCATGGAGCAGAAAACAGCATGTTCTTTTGACCTATGGAATGTTCATTGTTGTAAGATTCTCTCAGTTTATGGAATAAACTTCACAAGATCTACAAGATGTCTTTCTCATTGAGTCACTGACTGTGCTGTCCATCAGAGGTTGAAGTTATCGCTATCGCATCACAACTGTAAGTTACAGAGATCACACTATCAATGCTTAGATTGGAGCCAACAGAACAGTCAAAAGAATGGTTGAATGCTTTATATGAACCTGACTAATCAAAGGACAAGTGAACTGTCTTCATAATAAGCTAGCTAGAATACACAGTGAGATGTTACATGGACACTGGATATAACAGCTACAGAGAGTGCAGCACCTCTACACAAGACTGTACATGTCTCCAAGTATATCCCAGCATAACACTCATCAGTGTCAGGACAAATTATTGATGTGAATGTTTTTATACACTGCATGTGTACACATTACCACACTACTCTTGTCTGTGAAGTTGTAAGAAAGAAAAAGAAAATCTTCCTGCTATTATTGCATTAAAA